GTAATTTAATTACTACTTTCTTGGTTTTTCTTCTTGAATTGTCCTTTATAAAATAAAATTATAATTATTTTTAGAATAGATTAGAGCTGGAAGGGACCTTTGGAGGTCTTCTAGTCCAGCCCCCTGCTCAAGCAGGAGAACCAATACCATTTCAGACAGGTGATTGTCCAGTCTCTTCTTAAAAATTTCCAGTGATGGAAATAATAATAATGATGATAATGGTAATAATAATAATAATAATAATAATAATAATAATAATAATAATAATAATAATAATAATAATAATAATAATAATAATAATAATAATAAAAAACAACTTTGCAAAATACATCAAGAAACTGCAGCTTCCTGCAATAACTCCAGCAATGTTACAAAAAACTGCGCTCCTCGGAACATCTTACATTTTAAGGACGGAACCTGGTTGACACCTAGGATGCGGGTAGCAACCCGTGTCAACCATCAGCACCAGCCAATTTGAATGTTCAGTTGACTGAGGTTCATGTTTAATGAATAAAAGATAATAATAATAATAATAATAATAATAATAATAATAATAATAATAATAATAATAATAATAATAATAATAATAATAATAATAGTAATAATATTTTAAAAAAGCAACAACAAAATCTCCGCGGTCATCTACTGCCATCATCAGCCTCTGCATTGTCACCAATGTCACATTCACACGTGAACAGCACAGACGAATGCAAAAGGCCGCCTTGGCACTTACGCTCACTCTCCCTCCCAAGAAATCTTGCCCACGCGATAGAGAGAAAAGGGACAAAACCTTTCCCCCCAACTTAAGAGAACAAACAACAAGCTGCAAAGGGACGCACGATCTTAATTTCTGCTAAAAATTGAAAAAAAGTTCCCGCACTCTTTGCAGCTTTTTGCTGCAAAAGCGCCCGAAGACATTGCACAGTGCGCCTAACCCTCAATTCCCGTGCAAGGAAGAGAATCCCAGATTTTACATCTCTGCGAAGTGCTACCGCTTTGGCCGATCAGGAAACGCAGATTCACACGAGCTGCCCTGACTTTCGAGTCCCTGCATCGCCAGGATTCGTTCAACCTCTTCCGGGGGCGAGGGCGAGGGAGGAGGGTCGATGAGGCTTGCCTGGATGAATCATAAAAGTCAGAATTTTGCTTTTTGAGAGGGAGAGATCTCGTGTAGAAAAGACGGACGGAGGAGCAAATTGACTTCTTTTTCACGTGCGCGTGGAGTTTCTATGTTGGACCTGGGTGGATTTAGAGTAGACTTTGAAAGGTGTTGCCAAGCCCTCTGGTCCTCATGGTGGAAAGTCGCAGCCAAGCCTTGCAGCGCCCCCAAGGGGGCAACCTGCAATATTATGCATTTATCCATCCATCCCTCCCTTCCTTCACAGAGATAGATAGATAGATAGATAGATAGATAGACAGACAGACAGACAGACAGACAGATAGATAGATAGATAGATAGATAGATAGATAGATAGATAGATAGATAGATAGATAGGCAGGCAGGCAGGCAGGCAGGCAGGCAGACAAATAGATATCAGTAGAGAGACATAGATGATAAATAGACATAGACAGATAGGCAGACATAGATGATAGACATAGATGATAGATGATAGATAGACATACTGGTAGATAATAGGTAGGTAGGCAGGCAGGCAGGCAGGCAGACAGACAGACAGACAGATAGATAGATAGTTACCAGTAGACAGATATAAATGATAAATAGACATAGATAGACAGACAGACATACTGGTAGATGAGATAGATAGATAGATAGATAGATAGATAGATAGATAGATAGATAGATAGATAGATAGATAGATAGATAGATAGATAGATAGATAGATAGATAGATAGATAGGCAGATAGATAGGCAGATAGATAGGCAGATAGGCAGACATAGATGATAGATAGATGATAGATAGAAATAAATGATAGATAGATAGATAGATAGATAGATAGATAGATAGATAGATAGATAGATAGATAGATAGATAGATAGATTGGCAGACATAGATGATAGATAGATGATAGATAGAAATAAATGATAGATAGATAGATAGATAGATAGGCAGACATAGATGATAGATAGAAATAGATGATAGATAGACAGACAGACGGACGGACGGACGGACGGACGGACAGACAGACAGACAGACATAGATGGTAAACAGACAAACAGACAGACAGAGAATATATACAGCCTCCGATTTTCTTTTTCTCTGTAGATAACTGTTTTCTCAGCCTTAATTACTTTCAGATACAGTACAGGTAGTTCTTTATTTACAACAGCTCATTTAGTGACCGTTCGAAATTACAACGGCACTGAAAAAAGTGACTCATGACCGTTTTTCACACTTACGACCGTTGCAGCCCCTTCCACGCGATCCAAATTCAGACGCATGGCAACGGATTCCTATTTATGACGGTCGCAGTAAGATCCCCTTTTGCGACCTTCTGACAAGCCACGTCAGTGGGGAAGCCAGATTCACTTAACAACCGGGTTACTCGCTTAACAACCGCAGAGATTCGCTTAACCCCTGTGGCAAGGAAGTTCGTCAGATGGGGCAAACTTCACTTAACCAATGCCTCACTTAGCAACGGAGCTCAGTTGTGATCGTAAGTCGAGGACGATCTGTATGTGGACTTCAATTCCCAGAATTCCCCAGCCAGCAACGCTGGCTGGGGAATTCTGGGAGTTGAAGTCCACAAGCCTTAAAAGTAGCTAAGATTGAAAAACACTGAGGAAAAAAACACTCCTGTCTTAATAATAATAATAATAATAATAATAATAATAATAATAATAATAATAATAATAATAATAATAATAATAATAAAGTTGGAAGGGACCTTGGAGATCATCTAGTCCAACCCCCCCCCCTGCTCAGGCAGGAACCCTACACCATTTCAGACAAATGGCTGTCCAGTCTCTTCTTAAAAACTTCCAGTGTTGGAGCATTCACCGCTTCTGGAGGCAGGTTGTTGGCATCTCTTGGCTGAAGTTGAGGTGCAGCCCGAATATATCCAATTTAAACAGGGTTTTTTTTATCCCCCATAGGAGTTCTTCACAAAATTCTCCACAAGGAGCTCGGAAGCGCCGTGTTCCCACCCCCCCACCTCGGTAAGACACCTCTACCCTCTGTCCGTCTTTATCTCTCTCTTTTTCTCCGCTCGCCCGCGCCCTCTCGCGCCGCGGCGTCTGCTTCCGGCCACGCCCACCGCGTCGGCGCGCGCGCGCGCGACTTCCGGTCCCAGAGTGCCCGAGGCCGAACCATGGACCACAATGGTGAGCGGGGAGATGCGGGGAGCTCCGTTGAGCGAGCCGGCCGGCCCCGCCGGCTTCGACT